GGTTTTTTTTTGGGGGGGGGGGAAGAGGGGGGATCTAGAAAGGGATTGCACGCCAGGTTTTTACGTATTTCAGAACGAGAGTGAGAGGTTGGCTACTGGGTGGCTAACCAAGAGAAAGGAGTCGTAATTACAGGGCTGGATTTAGAGGGTGGTCACATGGGCCGCGGCCCATGGCGGCAAATTTAGGGAGCGGCGAATTTTGCAATTTTTTTAAATGTAGGAATAAAAAAAATTCGGATTTAGAAAAAAAAATTACAAACGAAAAAAGGCGACAAAATCTCTAATTTTCTGAGAGTATAGTAATTTCAACTTTTATCGTCTTTCAGTGATACAAGAGACAGCACCTTTAATTAGTCGAGCTTAGAGAGAAATCAAACACATAATTTGTCTTGGAACGGCACGGCGCAGAGAGCAATGATGACGAGGACTTGAGATGAAAAGGAGAAGCCCTCGGCGCGGCGCGGCGGTCGGCATGTAACACGCATCAGCGCCTACAAGAGTGCATGAATACTTCACGCATTGCGCCAAACACGGTGCGGTCAGCGTGAAACGCATAGCGCCTACAAGACCGCATAAATACTTCACGCAGTGCGTTGCGTTGTGCGTTCAGCAGTGATCGGCATGAAACGCATAGCGCCTACAAGACTGTAGGAATACTTCAAGCATTGCGCCAAACACAGTGCGGCGATGGAAGTTAAAATTACTAAAGCACATTCATGTTGGTTCTTTCTTAATTCTTTCGTTCATTTCTTATAAATGGAAGGTCTTGTCCACACAGAGATAGGTTTATGGAACTTAACTTTTGCTAGTAGTGTTGACAGGGCATTCGCAAAAAATGTGTCCGACACGAGTGAACGCGTCTTATGAACCCCTCCCCCTCTGGTGCGTTCGCTTGATAGTTCAAATCGAATGAGAAGGGGGCGGCCAAATACAGGCGGCCCATGGGCAGCAAGAAAGTAAATCCGGCCCTGCGTAGTTAAACTAAAATAGCCTACGCAATACTTTAGCAATCTTAAGGAATAGTGCATGTATTGTAGGAAACATTTGTACATACCTTTAGCAGTCTTATTTCTCTCAGGGCAATTTTTCTAATGAGAGGATCGTCCTCGGATTCCACAAATTTCTTTATTGCCACAAGTTGATTGGTTTCCCGGTTTCGACACTTGAAGACCACACCGTAGCTGCCTTCTCCTAACTTTCCGATTTTTTCATATTTGTCCATATGCCTGGATGAAGCTCGGGACCTGGTGTTATGCCAACAGAACATGAGGCAACATTTTTAGAAAGAGCGTCAACTTTGGAAAATTTGTTTCTGCGTTCGGTTAGTCGGCACACCCGAGAATCAAACTATTCGACGACCTTATGTATTCCATCCCCTCATAAATAAAGATACTTGAAAGAGTTTTAATCCTGATATCACTGGTCAGTTGAAGTGGCAATGTCTGTAACTTGTTGAAAAGAAATAACCAACAGAAAACTTATATTTGAGTTCAGGAAAAATTAACACGTTTCAATGTCTGCTATTCATGTTTTATGAGAAAAGGAAGAGTAGAAATGAACAATATCATGACACTAAAATGAACAGAATTTTAAAAGAAGGTTTAATATTGATCTTTATATACACTGAAAAAAAAGTGGAAGTGGGATTGACCATAATGGTATAGTAAAAAAAAATATGGTGATAAAAAGCCAAATAATGGTCGATTTAAGCATCTAGATGAAAGTGAGAATCATACTCGATATAAAAATTACCATACCCGGATTGTAAATATCAGTTAGGTGTGTCTGTCCATCGTTTAGGTATTTCTCACCATCAGCTGGGTATTTTTTACCATACGATGAGTTAAAAGTATGGAATAACATGGTAACACTTGCGTTTGATATCTGTAGGCATCTGTATGCGACTGGTCATGGTGTTGGTAGGTTAAATTTACCATACTGGTATAGTCAGCGTGGTGAGAGCTCCCGCTTGACTGCGCTGCGGTCTGTGGTCCGCCATTTTTCGTTTGTCTGTTTGTCAGTTATAAATTTATCACGTTGAGGGTCGGAGTCCGTGGCTGTGTTTTATTGATCCATATTAATCCATGTGAATCCACGCGTAATTTGCCCAAATGTGTGTTCGAATTGTCCCTAAAGCTACCGTCTTCTCTTCGAATCTATCTATATTGATCTGCCACTTACATTTTCTGAGATTTTTTCGTTATTCGTATCGACCAATTTCTGGAGGTTAGGAGTTGCTACAATGAATCTGGCTTGCAAAGTGAAGGAATCCTGAAAATTTGAAAACCTTCGCAAAGTTGTTCTGCAATCCAGTAAATATCGGTTCTGTGTAAAGTCATTTCGAAAACATAAAAGTGCGGAAGTAATTTGAAAATAATCGACTAGAAGTGATTTTTGAATACTTCGTTCGTAGGTATATCTATATTCTTGTTAAAATTTTCGAAGCTCAACATACTCAGATGAAGAGACAAATGTGCGTGGGATTGATGTTTAACTGTAACTTTAAGCAAAATTTGGCAGCTTCTGCCCCACCGTGAACCGTGCGATTGGATTTTCATGTAGTGTCTTTTTGTGGGTATATTTTGAACTATCTATTTATTATATGCAATTAAATTTTCCGTGGATCTGATTTAGTCTGTAAATGATACCTTAACGCGAATAACAAGTATGGTTTTGGTATCATTTACTTGAAATCAGTGAAGCAATTATCTGCTATTTCTCGTCGAAACTGTCTTTAACTGCCATTGATTGTGTATGTAACGGAATTTCTAAAAGTAAGATGTAAGTAAAATATCCACGACTTTCATCAAAAGCATTTAATAATATAAAATGAGTGGATTTTAGAATCTACAAGGTTTGTCGCAGCATCTGGATGCTTGAAATTACCATACTAGTCAGTCGGGAACGCCACACTGGCACTGTGTCGCATAGTGTCAGCCGTATCGTGTTATTTACCATACCGGTATATTGGTAACTATGCTGCAGCTTCACTGTGTAAAAAATCAAGTAGACAGTATGGTAAATAACACCCAAACTCTGGTAAATCCCACCGATTATTTTTTTCAGTGTAATAAAAGTACTTTCAATATTTACTTTTAAGAGTTCGGCTGATACAATCTTATTTTTATTTTTTATTTTTTTTTTTTTTAGAACGATACGTGTTCTGGTGTAAGAATTTCAATATTGTTCACAGTACATTATTGCTCCCTAATTTTCTTCTTGAACGCTTAATAAAGCAAGATATTCGTGTTTTCCGGACTAATAAGAAATTCTCTTGTGTGTACATAAGCCCATGTGATAACTCAATGAGGCAAACACGTTGCAAAGCTTCAAGAAATTTATATTTGCATGATTGCAAAATTGTCAAAAAAGCTTATACTGGGTTTCACGAGACATGTCAATATTATGTGCCAATTTTTAAGGCCAACGAATCGAATTATATCTTTCGAAACCGGGAGGTGCCAGATGCAGCCAATCGGACGTGATTTAAAAATTGCACAAAAACTGGTGTATTTAAACACAATAATATTTTATTGCAGATGAATCTAATCATTTAAGCACGAAAGTTGTTACTTCTATAATCACGAGAATAATTTCGCACAGGGCCTCATCATTCACTTGAATCGCCAGCAAAATGGGGATAAGTTGTATTACGCCAAAACAAATCTCGTAATACAACAAATGCTTTCAGTTCAATATAAGTTGCTAAAATTAATCGCAAGTAATAGCAGAGGCTAAATAGGAACAACTGAAAAAATAGTGGAGTAATTGTTCAAATAATCATCAAAGGTAAAATCAATTACTGACTTGAATTTACAGTCAAAACACATGGAGTACACTCGATGTACTATCAAAACAAGACCATCACAAAAACAAGGTGTTGGTTAGAAATGTTAAGCTAGTTTTTTTCAAATTTAGAAATTTCCATATGCTATATATGTAGGAAGGAAATTCTCTGAGGATAATAACGAAGTTCATTATACAAGACAATCGTCCTTCGACTAAGGCACTGAGAACTATTTTTCAGCACATTTTATGTTAAAAACACATAGCAGGCGACTGTTTTCTGACACTGACAAAAGTATTCAGAGGTTCACACGCGGTTTTCGTAGACTTTCCGTCAATTTTGTAAAAAAAATTAAACTTGCGAGTATGTTTCCCCGCACGAGTTGCCGGCGAGAGTGCGGCGTGGAGACGAAGGCGTTGTTTAATGACTGTCTGCCGAGGGATCGATTGAGAGCAACGCCGGCCACCGTTGATGGCACCGTCTTTTCTTCGTTGAGCCGAGGCGAATTTCGAATGCCATCCGGCAACATCGACTGAAGAATACCCGGTGCTGACGTCATGTCGGTGGGCCATTTATCACCATTCGAGGTGCTGTCAGAAATTGCCATTGTTGCGCTCTTACATCACCTCGCCCCCGCTTTTCCCGTCATGTGTCGTTCATTCTTACGAAAGTGCGTTGCAATTTCGTGAGAGGCCTTTGCAGGAAGCATGAGCGGTCCTTTGAGGGCTCCCTGGAGCCCCATTAAGATTGCAACATGTGCCGTTTCGAAAATGGGACTATTTTAATGTGTAAGAGCTGATTTTTTACATGGGCCGTTTGTAAGATCTCTTATCACCTTCTGGTCACCAAACCAGTGGTCAGACTCTGTCCAGCAGCCAATCTGCTAAGGTAAGTGTGTATGACTCTCGGTTCTCTTCAGGTCAAGTCCCGGCCTGCATTTTTTCTCTCTCGCAAACCAGTAATTAGACTGATTAGCAGATTGACTGCTGGTCGGAGTCTAACCACTGGTTTGGTAACCAGAGGTTGACAATAGATCTTACAAACGGCCCTTTTAAAATGTCCAAAATACAAACATGTCGCAGATTAGCATGCTCTTGCTATAAAATGTCCAAGTACCTAAAAGTTCGAGTAGGGATAACATGATAAAAAGCAAAAAGGTCCGATTTCTTCGGAAAGAGACGTAATTCGCCTCTTACAATGAAGTTTTCAGAAAACAGAGCATTCCTCTTTAATTTGGCTTATATCCTAATTTTTTATCCTTCCTGACTTGATTTTGCTCTCCTTTCATTGATAATATCTATAATAATATTATAATATTTCATTGATATTACCTTGCGTTTATACTCTCAGAAATATCAACAATGTATTTCGCTTTTGAAATGATTTGCCTCTAAGAAAAGTTATTTTAATAGTTATTTCTATTATCAGCACATTTCATTGCAACGTCACAGGTCAATAGGAACTTGGCTATTTTTTGTTTTTGTCATGCTACTTCCACATTAGACAATCCAGACACCGGGACATTCCGACGGCACGATAGTTCTTATCTCTGAACATGTTTGTGTTTTAGACCTCTCTTTCAGGCATGTTGACCTTTCAACCGCGTTTTTACTCAACTAGTATCGTTTCCTCGAAGTAGATGCGTTTCTGCCTTCAATTAAAACAGTAGGCAAAAACAACCTCCGGGTGTCAAAATCTGTACACCGTAGACATTGATTGACGCTCGCAACACTCAATTTCAAACTACGTCTTCTTCCAAATCGCTGCTGTCAGAGACAACATCTTTCAGAAGCCATGCACTGATGTCTTCCCAGTAGCGTAAAAGTAACTTGTAGAAATCAACGCTCAGATTCGTATTTCTGCCAGACGGAACTATAGACGGGTGGGAGAGATGGAGTGCGCTCTAGAAAGCTGCATAAGAAGCAATGTAAAAGTGGGCTTTTACAAAGGGGGGTTTTTCAAAGGGGGATTTTACATTCTGTCAAACGGAACTATGTGCCAACTAAATGCGGCACTCATGAGCCATGGGCATGGCAAACGAGCCTTGTGGACAGGGCTCATGAGTTAATGCTGCAGAAGAACGACTGCGGCGGCAGTTTTTTCGCCGCTGACTTCACTGGCGCTTTATAATTCCCATGCATTCTTACGGCTTTACAACTAACGAGCACACCCCTTCCTTCCCTCCTATCTCTGGTTCCGTTTAGCAGAAATACGTCCACTTTGTCTCTGACCGCATGCAGTAGACAAACCGCTTTCGCCTAAGGCCATCCGTCGGGAAGAATGATCACGTTAATTCTGCAGATTATAACTGCAGTTCTGTATGCACAGAGCGGAGTTCACGTTTACGTTACTGTCACGGATTTGCATCCGCCGACACGCAAATGCCAGAGGGCCCCGATGCAGGCGTGTGGTCAGAGCCGTTATCAACGTCCCGCCGTCAGCCCGCGGGATTTATGGCTGCCGACTCGAAAAAATAACCGCCGAGAGAGCGGCGAAATTAGAGGGCGACCGCAGAACTAATGTGCGCAATTAGAAGTTTTTACCGGGGAATCGATGCGAGATGAAGGTCGAATGAAATTAAGTTTATCCCTCCCGAGCGGTGCATTTCAAGTTCACGTGAGAGTTATCATCTATGAACTTCCCCCCGTGTTTATTCCTTTCGTTTCTCATATCTCCAGCTCACAGAGTCATTGCGGTAGGGGTTCTCTCTCCGATCGGCCAGTTGGAAAAAACAAAACAAACTGAAGGCGGCTCTCTGGGGTCGCTCATGTATTACCTAAGTCATTTTGGCCGACTTTTTGACCCCCCCCCCCCCCCCCCCCCC